ATATCCAAGGGTGAAGTCATCTTTATTCCCATCACTGCACCACTAGAAGCTCTTTGTGGGGCAGATAACTTTATTTACTGTTGGCATAATGCTATCATCTGAAGATAAACTAATCAAGGCCATCCTATGCCATTTCTAATTCTATCTGCTCTAATGTAACTTATTTGGTTAAATTATTTTATTTGCTTGATTTTAGGGGTAGTCTATCTGTTATTCCCCTTCAGAAAACAAACTATCAGAGACTATTCGCAGGTTTCCCTGTGACTCTGATATAACAAAAACAACATTAAACAAATCTTTGATGCACACAGCTTTCCTTTATTCCCATTTTCTTGGCCCCGCCTCTGTGTCTGGAACCAGAGGGCAGAGGAAACCTGGAAAGCTCCTAGGTCCTGCCTGGCACATGTTGGTGCTCTCAGCAAGGGCCACTTCTCTCGCTCCAGGAAACCAGGCAAGTCAGGCAGAATGAGCCCCGCCCTGGAAGCACACAGAAACAAACCAAGGTCAAACGACTAGGAGTGAACAGAGAAGTCCAGACACGGGGACTCCAGGCAAAATGTGGTTCCACTGGCTTCAGCACAAGAAAGGAAAGGCAAATTCTCATGAAAAAATTATTGCGTAAACATTCCCCTGAAATTATTTAACTTTTTTTATTTTTTATTTTTTTGAGATGGAGTCTCGCTCTGTCACCCAGGCTGGAGTGCAGTGGTGCAATCTCGGCTCACTGCAATGTCCGCCTCCTGGGTTCATGCGATTCTCCTGCCTCAGCCTCCCAAGTAGCTGGGATTACAGGCTCCTGCCACCACGCCCAGCTAATTTTTGTATTTTCAGTGGAGACAGGGTTTCACCATGTTGGCCAGGCTGGTCTCAAACTCCTGACCTCAGGTGATCTGCCCACCTCATCCTCCCAAAGTGCTGGGATTACAGGCGTGAGCCACCACACCCGGCCTCTTTAACCTTTTTAACAAAATAGTATATGTTTATAATATTCTAGATTTTAACCTAAATATCTGAAATTGTCCGAAGTTAAGAAAGATTCTACAGCCAGGTGACACAGGAACAGATAACAGCAAGAGAGCTGACATTCACTGCACGCTGACAATGTGCTGGGAGGCACATACGTTAACCCACCTCACCTCACAGCAGCCTCATGGCAACTAGGACTACAGTTTTACAGACGAGGATCCTGAGATACAGAGAGGCTGAGCAACCTGCCCAAAGTCCCACAGCTAAATGGGGCAAGGCCAGGGTCCCAACACTGACAATCACTCCCCGCAGTGCTCTGCAGCCTCCCACAGCTTCTGTCAGCTGCCTCGAGGAGAAGTCAGTCAGTCCTCGTTCTGAAGTGTCACTGCCCTTCAGGAAACCAACAACTCAGAACGTCCCAGAACGTCACTGAACATCCCCACTACCAGAGGAACTCAAAGAACAGCACTCCCTCAGAAGCACCATTCTGAAAAGTCACTGGTCACAACACCCCCAGCTGGCTCCAAAAATCCTCCCCAAATTTTACTCTTGCTAGTGAATAAAGTTCAAAGCCAGTACTAACAAATAAAATGCCCAGAGTCCCCAGCAAGCAGAAGTGTCTTCACTCCAGAATGGCAGGGAAGTGACAGGGCACCATGGAGAGGCCGCCTCCGCCCAGCAGAGCAAACAGAACAGCGTGTGTGATTACCTGGCAGGGCTGCTCCCAGAACAAAGCCCTATTTGCCTTGGCTTGCTCAAGGCTTTTATCGGATTCCATTCCCTTTTCTGTTTTCAATTCAACATAATTCTTACTAAGTTCAAAATTAAGTCAATGAAGTTCAAAATTTAAAAAAAGAAAAAGGCCAATCAAGTATCTCTTGCATAGCACACAACTATCTTGCCACATAAAAACCTGCGAACTTCCACCAAGCCCGTTGGTCACCTAAGGAAGGTTATTCTCCCCGCTAACCTTCTGCTTAATCAACAGTTAATTTCTTGAGTACTTACTACAGTCAAAATAGATGTTGGGTTCATTCAATCTCTCTCATTGCTAATATCTCAGCTTGCTGAAATCTGGGAAGTCCAAACTGGTTTCCCAAAAAAGAAAACTCATGCTGAAAAATCAGAGCCAGAAATTTGAAAATCACATAACTATGCTGAGATTTAACCTTAGGCTAAAGAAGCTGCTTCCCAAATGCTACCAAAAGCTAAAGCTTACTTGGTCAAATAAAACACACTTATTGACTTTTTTTTTTTTTTTTTTTAAGTGCAGTGATTCAATCATAGCTCACTGCAGCCTCAAACTTCTGGGTTCAAGCAATCCTCCCACCTCAGCCTCCCAATTAGCTGGGACTACAGGCATGTGCCACCATGCCTAGCTAATCTCTTTTCTTTTCTTTCTTTCTTTTATTTTCTTTCTCTCTCTCTCCTTCCCTCCGTTCCTCCCTCCCTCCTTTCTTTCTCTTTCTTTTCTCTCTGTCTCTCCTTCTCTCCCTCCTTTCTTTCTTTCTCTCTCTCTTTCTTTTTTTGTAGAGACAAGGTCTCACTATGTTGACCAGGCTGATCTTAAACTTCTGGCCTCAGGTGATCCTCCTCCCTCAGCCTCTGAAAGTGCTGGGATTACAGGCATGAGCCATCACACCCAGCCTTATTGAGCACTTTCTCTAAGTAAGAGTGTGGTGAAATGCCATGCTCTTTCTTTGTTTGCAGCTGCCTGGGAAAATGAAGTGAGCCAGCACTAAACTAGGTGTCATGTGAGTTGTGTTCTAAAACTAGTTTTAGGCCTAACTTTCTGTGTGTGCCTGGGCTCTCCCTTTGTAGACCTCAAGTTTCTTCTCAAAATCCACATCCTATGATCACCATTTCCCCAAAATCAAAGAAAAGGATTTCTTTTAAATCCTACAACTATACAAGTCTCCTTCATGGTCCTGCTGAAGAACCCAGCACTGAATGGGGCGTTGTGAGTGAACATAACAGAAGCGTATTCAGATCTACCAATTCCTACATCACTACAGACATATGTAACAGATGAGCCTCCTTTCTCCCAGCCAGGAGAAGACGGCTCCAAAGTGACAGGGCTGGACAACAGTGGAGAGTAAGCAGCAAGATAGGGCCCTAAGTGGTCAGGGCTGTGTAGTCAGCGGGAACAGCTCAGTTGGGATAAGCAGACTTCTCCACTGCCAAACACGGGCCATCAAGGAGGCAGACAGTGGAAATAATGGGGGTTTTTTAAGCAGCCTGGATGATCATTCCTTTAAAGCTCATATCATAAATTCTGAATAACAACAACAACAAATTCTCTTCTCATAGCAACCTTCTGATAGAACATAATTTTGGCAAGACAGACATGTATCTTCCTGAATTCCCAGATATCTTAAACCATGGCTTATAATCCATTCTGGTTGAGGCCAGGTCAAATGTTATTCCCATCACTCTCTCCACCTCTCCTGCTGTGATTCTCACTCTCATCTCCCTGCCTCCTAAAAAGGCAATTCTGATGCACATCATATGCACCAACACATGACAACACGATTTATGAAAAAAAGTTACTTCCTGTCTGTTCATTTATAAAGTAACAAAAGCTAGGGAGACTCTGGCAGTCTCTCTCTATTCTAATCCTTATAAAAACAAGGAGCCCAGAAAATTGCTGGAAAACAAGACCTCCAATCATTGTCAAAGTCTCACAGGATTTCTAAGCACTTCCAACACTCTCGTAGGGTACATCTCTGGGTCTGAAGGGGTCAATAGCAGTGTCCTTGGTGAGAACGCCAGGAAACACTGCCAGCAACAGCAACTGCTAGGAGCTATTGTTATTAATAAAAATAAGTGACATTTACCAAGAATCCAATATGTTCCCGAATCTGGGCTAAGTGCCTTTATTCACAAGACCTTATGTAATCCTCACAAAAACTTCATGAAGTAGGAACTATGATTATGTTCTTTTTATGGATGGAAAAACCGAGGCTAAGAGGTGAAGAAACTTAGTAAAGAGCAGAACCCAAAGATGAGAACCTGAAACAGGCATGTTGCCTCCACCTCCCTGGCCCCATCCAGCTTCCAGCCTCCAACCTCTTGTGTCTGAGGCTGCGAGCTCAGAGCCCCGAGCTCACTCGTTCTCTGCTCAGAGGCCCTCTTGTCAGCTGCTCTTTTCCATCACCCATACCACAGGCGAAGCGCTGACGGCTGAGAGCAGACCATCCCTGATGGTCTCCAGGGATACTTGACATACTCAGCTCAGTCCACTTTGCTCCACATCCCCAGCAGACCTTAGCCACATCTGTCAAGGTGAAGCCTCCCAGACCCCAGACGAACAGATCTTGGCATAGTTCATACAAGTACAAATGAAGCTCAACCCATCTTATTAGGAAAACAGGGGTGGCTGGCCAGCTTCAGGGTGCTGAAGGTATGAACAGATGCACACTGTCATTTCTGCTCAGAGGATGCTAAAATGCTTTGCAAACACTGAACCATTTAGTTTTCTTTCTTTCTCTCTCTCTCTCTCCCTCCCTCCCTCCCTCCCTCTCTCTCTCTCTCTCCCTCTTTCTCTCTCTGTCTTCCTTTCTTTTTGTAAGATTGAGTTTAGCTCTTTTGCCCAGGCTAGAGTGAAGTGGTGCAATCTTGGCTCACTGCAACCTCCAACTCCTGGGTTCAAGCAATTCTCCTGCCTCAGCCTCCTAAGTAGCTGAGATTATACATGCCCGCCACCACACCTAGCTAATTTTTGTATTTTAAGTAGAGACAGGGTTTCACCCTGTTGGCCAGGCTGGTCTTGAACTCCTGACCTCAGATGACCCACCCGCCTCAGCCTCCCAAAGTGCTAGGATTACAGGCGTAAGCCACCATGCCGGCCCAACCATCTATTTTTCATAAGGTACAGCAATCACTACCATCCTCTCCTTGGCTTTAAGGAGTACAAGTGAAGCTTTGCACAGAGAGACAGACAAGTTGAAAGCTTCCTAGAGATTAATCACAGCTGTCCCCTATCTGATTCGGGGGAAAAAGTTATCAGGAACAAACGCATGGTCCTCACTTACCCTTTCTATCTCTTGGAGGTACAGGAGTGCAATGTCCCCTGCTTTCTCATAACAGGTGATGACATCCTGTTCCCGGTCCACATGGAGATTACTGGTAGAAGAAGAAATAGGCAGCTTCTCCAAACAAAGTCCTTAAAAAAAATCAGACACAAAAACTGAGTGAGTTTTTTTTCATAAGACTTCATTTTTAAATATTGCTCTAGAGGGCCAGAAGATGGTTGTAGAATATCATGTTGTTTGCAAATAGACAGTTTACATCCTCCTTTTCAATCTGGATGCTTTTTATTTCTATTGATTGCCTTATTGCACTGGCAGGAATCTCCAGTACTATGCTGAATAGAAGTGGCAACAGCAACTGCCAGCCGTGGTGGCGCACACCTGCGATCCCAGCTACTTGGGAGGCTGAGGTGGGAGGATCGCTTGAGCCCAGTAGTTCCAGACTGCAGTGAGCCATGACTGCACCACTGTACTCCAGCCTGGGCAACAGATGGAGACCCTGTCTTTCATAAAAAAAAAAGAAGAAGAAAGAAAAAGTGGTGAGAATAAATATCCCTATCTTATTCCTGATCTTAGGGAGAAAACATTCAGTCAGAAAGCATTAAGTTTGAGATTGTAAGTTTGTCTTAGACACCCTTTACCAGGTTGAGGAAGGTGCCTTCTACACCAATTTTGCTGAGAGTTTCTATCAAGAATCAATGTTGGATTTGCTCAAATCCTTTCTCCATGTTCATTGAGATAATCATATAGCTTTTTCACTTTTAGTTTTTAAATGTGGTAAGTTACATTGACCGATCGTCGAATGTTAAACCAACCTTCCTTTTGCAGCAAAAACACCACTTGGCCAGATGAATTATCCTTTTTTATATTTTTGTATTTGATTTGTTAAAATTTGCCTTCAGTTTTTTTTTTTTGTTTGTTTTTTTTCTTTTTGGAGATGTAGTCTCACTCTGTCACCCAGGCTGGAGTGCAGCGGCACAACCTCAGCTCACTGCAACCTTCACCTCCTGAGTTCAAGCGATTCTTCTGTCTCAGCCTCCCAAGTAGCTGGGACTACGGGTGCATTCCACTATGCCTGGCTAATTTTTTTTTTTTTTTAAGAGATGGGGTTTCACCATGTTGGCCAGTCTGGTGTCGAACTCCTGACCTCAGGTGATTTGCCCGATTCAGCCTCCCAAAGTGCTGGGATTACAGGTGTGAGCCACCGTGCCTGGCCTCAAATTTTGTCATTTATGTTTCTGAGGACTATTTGCCTAAAGTTTCCTTGAAATGCCTCCGTACCTGGTTTTGATATCAGGTAAATACTAACCTCACAAAATGACTTGAGAAATATTCCCTCTCCTTTGATTTTCTGAGAGTGTTTGTGTAGAATTGATATTATTTTGTATTTAAATGTTTGATAGAATTCACCAGTAAAGCCATCTGGACCTGGAGTTTTCTTTATGGGCAGCTTTTCAATTACAAATTCTGTTTCTTTGATATAGGGTCATTCAGATTATCTCTTTCTTCTTGAGTGAGCTTTAGTTTATATCTTCCAAATAGTGTGTCCATTTCTTTTGAGTTGTCAAATTTATTGGTAGAGAGCTGTCCATAATATTCCATAATCCTTTAGTACCTGTAGAATCTCTAGTAGATGGCACCTCCCTCATTCCTGATATTGGCAATTTCTATCTTTTCTTCCTGATATCAGAGGTTTGCCGATTTTACTGAAATTCTCAGTAAAGATTTCTTGATTTCATTGACTTTGGTTTCATTGATTTTTCTCTAGCCTTCTGTTTTCGATTTCATTTATTTCCACTCTGATCTTTATTATGTCCTTTCTCCTGAATACATTGGGCTTTATTTGCACCTCCTATTCCAGTTTCTTGAGGTGGAAATTATTAATTTTGGACCTTTTTTCTTTCCTAATATAGATATTTAGTGTCCGCAATTTCTCTGTAAGGACTGCTTTAGCAGCATCCTACAAATTTTGATATTCAGTTCACAATATTTTCTAATTTAACTTTTGCTTTCTTCTTTAGAAGTGTGTTATTTAGTTTCCAAATATTTGGGAGTTTTCCAAGATCTTTCTTTTACTGATTTCCAAGTTAATTCCATCATGATCTGTGCAGTAAAGGGCTGACTTAGAGCTTTGGGATGTTTAAACCCTGTACATTCCAAAGGGAGGACTGGCCCTTACCAGTTCCTAGGAGAAAAACTCTAAGCCCTCAGAATATCCTACCTGACAAGTGTCTTTGTTTATTTGGGGCCTTAAGCCATACCAGATAGTTTATGCTAACAATGTCATTTAAGGCAGAGGACTGCGGCCATGCTGTATCAGTCTGATCTCTGGAGGGGCTGGAGACTGACTAAGGTCAGTAACATGGGTGCTCCATGCCTATATGACTGACCCCTAATAAAATCCCTGGGCACCAAGGCAGCTCAGGTGATCTTCCTTGATTGGCAATATTTCAAAAGTGCTGTCACACTTCACTGCAGGGAGAATTAAGCACTGTCCATAGGACTCCACTGGGAGAAGAAAACCGGAAGCTTGAGCCTGGTCTCTCCTGAAATCTGCCCTATGTGCCTTTTTGCTTTTACTGATTTTAATCTGTATCCATTTGCTGTAATAAACTGTAACCATGAGTATAACAGCTTTTCTAAGCTATGAGAGTCTTTCCAATACATCAATGCCTGATGGTAGTCTTGAGGACCTCTGACACAGTCCAGAGAACACACTCGAAGTCTCCTAATTTTGTTAAAACTTGTTTCTGACCCTGCATATGGTCAATCTTGGTAAATGTTACATTTGAAAAGAATGTGACTCTGTTGTTGTTGGGTGGAATGTCATATAAATGTCGATTAGGTCAAGTTGGTATATTGTGTTGTCCCAAGGCATCTATATCCTTACCAATCATCTGTCCACTTGCTTTATCATTTATTGAAACACGGATATTGCAATCCCCAAGCATAACTGTGCATTTGCCTATTTCTCCTTGAAGTTCTATCAGTTTTTGTTTCATGTATTTTAGAGCTCTATTATTAAGATCATAAACCTTTGGAATTGTTATATTATTTTGATGGACTGACATCTTTGCTCTAAAACCTGCTTTGTCTGATATTAATATAGATACTATAGCCTTCATTTGATTAGTGTTAGCATGGTAAATTTTTTCATCCCTTTACTTTTAATCTATTGTGTCTTGGTATTTAAAGTGTATTTCTTGTAGCCAACAGAGTTGAGTTTTGTTTATTTTCTAATCTGACAATCTCTACCTTTTAAATAGGGTATTTAAATCATTTATATTTAATGTAATTTTTTCAACAGATAGATTTAAATCGACCACTTTGCTATTTGTTTTTCATTTGTCCCATCTTCTATTTTTCCTTTTTCTCCTTTTATCTGTCATCTATTTGAGAATTTTTACATTTTATTTTATTTATTGGCTTTTCACTAAAATTGTTATTTTCTATGTCAGTGATTGCTTCAGGGTTTACTTTGGCATAGTCCACTTTGTTTTGTTTTGTTTGGGATGGAGTTTCAACTCTGTCGCCCAGGCTGGAGTACAGTGGCGCGATCTTGGCTCACTGCAACCTCCACCTCCTGGGTTCAAGCGATTCTCGTGACTCAGCCTCCCAGTAGCTGGGACTACAGGTGCGCAAAATCACACCCAGCTAATGTTTTTTTCTTTTTTTAGTAGAGACGGGGTTTTACAATGTTGGCCAGTCTGGTCTCGAACTCCTGACCTCAAGTAATCCACCTGTGTCAACTTCCCAAAGTGCTGGGATTACAGGCTTGAGCCACCATGCCCAGCCCCTACTTTAAATGATATTATACTACTTCACATATAGTATAAGACCTTTACAATTGCATACTTCCATTTCTCCCCTCCCAGCCTTTATTATCTTATGTACATTTTATTTTTACACAGGTTAAAAAGCTTACCCTATGTGGTTATTATTTTTGTTTAGTCAATTTATTTAAACATTTAGATCATAAGGAAAAATTCTTGTATATTCACCAAATTATAATTTCCAGCTGTCTTTGTTCTTTTGTGTAAATTCATATTTCTTCCTGGTATTAACATTTCTTGTGGGGTAGTTCTGCTCCCGCTGATTTCTTTCAGCTACTCTCTGCCTTGAAAATGCTTACTTTAGCTCTAATTTTAGAGAGAGATTTCACAGAGTATGGAATTCAGGGTTAAGTTTGCTTTTTTCCCCTCCATTACTCTCAAAGGTGCTGCTCCACTGTATTCTCACTTGCATGGTTTCTGACAATAATTCTGCTATCACCCTTATGTTTGTTCATTTATATATAATATGTCTTTTTTTCTGGCTGCTTTTAAGATTTTATCTTTATCACTGGTTATGAGCAATTTAGATTATGAAGTGCTTGGGCTTTGTCGAGCTTCCTGGAACTGATGGTTTATAGTTTCCATAAAATTTGAAAAACATCCAGCCATTTTTTTCTTCAAAAATGTTTATGTCACCCTCTTCCTTCCTTACGGGACTTTACATACATATTAGGCCATGTGAAGTTGTCCTACAGATCATTTATGGTGTTTCCACTTAAAGAATAATTTTTTTTTTTTTTTTTTTTTTTTTTTTGGTGAGATGGAGTTTCACTCTTGTTGCCCAGGCTGGAGTGCAATGGGTTCAAGCGATTCTCCTGCTTCAACCTCCCGAGTAGCTGGGATTACAGGCATGCACCACCACGCCTGGCTAATTTTGTATTTTTAGTAGAGACGGAGTTTCTCCATGTTCGTCAGGCTGGTCTCAAACTCCTGACCTCAGGCAATCCACCTGCCTCAGCCTCCCAAAGTACTGGGATTATGGCGTAAGCCACCGTGCCCGGCCAATAATAATAATTTTTCTTTCTTTCATTTTGGATAATTTCTGTTGCTATGTCTTCAAGTTCACTAATATTTTCCTTTGTAATGTCTTATCTGCCATTAATCACATCCAGTGTACTTTTCATATCAAACATGGTAGTTTTCATCTCTAGAAATTTGATGTAGGTCTATTTTTATCATCCACATCTCTACTGAACTTTCTGAAATAAGGAATATGGTTCTAATAACTTTCAATGGCCCTCCAGCCTAGGTGCTCAATGTTCATTCTCTTTCCAGTTAGCACCAATGTTGTTTATGCAATT